ATGTTTCTTTCGGACGCTAACATAGACCGAATATCTGCTGAGGAAGTTAAGAAGGCAATGCTTCTCTAAAGCAGAATGACAGCCTTTCTTGCAAGGCACAGGGAAACATCTAACAAAGGGGCGAGAAAAATGAGAGAGTGGGAAAAAAATGCTCTTTGCAACACGTTCCTGGTAAGTATGCCGTAATAAATCTGAGTGGGTACTCAAAAATTTCTCCTGATGGCACTTTCATGGATTGGTATTTAGAGATTTTCGAACATTGACGGAGAAATCTCCATTTAGGACCAGACATTCTAAAGGAAAAGCAATGCAGTAATTTCAAAGACCGGAATTATGATAGTCACAGCGACCATATTGATTCAGCGTCGGCTTAATCATCTAGAGACATCTTGTAAATGTGACCTATCGAATATCTAATATATATAGACGATCATGACTGACTGACTGACTGACGGTATTTCTAACCATGTTCTAGAGAAGTTAGAAATCTGAAACTTGGTACACATGTACCTTTTGGGATGCAAAAAACAATCAGACTTTGGAAGTCCATGCCCTGGGGGTACACATTTTGGCGGGAGAAGTTTTAAAAGATATATATTGTGACGTATGAGGATGGCGTCGAGAGGGTTAGGTTGATGTCCCGGGTTCGGTGGTGTAATGGTAGCAAACATGACCGGCAATCATGAATCCAGGGTTCAATTCCCGGCCGGTCCTTGGCTTTCTTTCGGCCTCTAAATCCTTCTAAGTCTCGTTACTCATTCCCCCTCTGTAACAACACTTTTGATTTGGTGAAACGGAGAGACATGGAAAGATGAAACTTAGCATGGACATGCCTACCGAGACGATGAGTTCAGGAAAAATGCAAAATTTTAGATCCATGCCCTGTGGGGGCATATTTTTTAGGGGCCGACGTTTTGTGGAACGATGAACGGTGTGGAAAGATGAAACTTGGTACATAACTACCTATTGGGATGCTGCGTGCAGAAAAATTCAGACTTTGGAAATATATGACCCGAGGGCACAAATTTCAAAAGGAGATGTTTTCAAATAATTGTCTTGCATCAGTTAAACTGATGAACATGGAAAGCTGGAACTTTGCATGAATATGACTACTGAGACAAGGAGTTAAAGAAATATGTGGGAATATGGAAATGGAAAGGTGAAACTTGGCACAGGTATAAGTGACATGGTATTATTGAGTTGAGGCAAAGAAGAACCTGATATATAGCTGAGTAAATAAAAATTCTACTTTTCTAATTTATAAACGATCGTTAGTAGCTGACTGACATAATTCGCATGCTGAGTTGAGGAAAAATTCTACTTTGGTGATACATGCCATAGGGCACACCTTTTCGGGGAACATGTGTTCACATAGTTCTCTTTGGTTCAATCAAACGGAGACACATGGAAAACTGAAACTTGGCAAGAACGTGACTGCTGAAGCACTGAACTCAGGGAAAACATCAAATTTAAAAATATTGGAATTTTGGGGATATATTTATTGGGGACGTTACGTTTTCAAAGATTTTTTAATATCATAGCGAATCGGGCAGAAATAGGAAAGTAGCAGCTGGCGCACGCATAACTCTTAGAAGTCTCTTAGAAAAGTCCGACAGATAAAAGGCAAGTAATATACATGTTAAAGTAGTGAAGATTCATGATCTCCTTCCCTGTAGACAATGAATTTAATAGAATGCGACTTTGCAAAAAATACGTCATTGCAATCTGGACGAGAAATGAAAGCTTTAGAAAAGCAAAAGTGTTTAATGCTCCCAAACCTGAAGGGATTTATATTTGTTGTGGAGAATCCATGGTGGGTACTTCTTGAAGCAGCTGGAACATGCTCGGTTTCAGTATCATCAAAAAATAAAAAAGCAGATCAAAGTAGTTGATCTCAAAGAGTATCGTAAGATATCCAGTAATGACCACGTGCGACTTATGGTGGGAAGTGTGTAGTGGTGCAACCTCCATGGGTGCGCGTAGGACCCTGGGAGTTCTGCTCTCGGGACGCCACTTGTTGACTCTGATGAACTTAGCGACCACGTTATTTCATATTCTTAACTCTCCGAAACGGACTTTTGATATTTAGCTCAACTTAAATCGTGACAAGCGACGAGATAAGTCGTGAGACCCAGAGGAAGAAAATGAGAAAGATAATTATATATTATGCACTTACAGTGAACTGCACCTTCCCGGAAAGATACGTGGTATGCATCAAATATCCGGCTGGGAGGCAGAGCAAATCGCCGTATGGAGCTCCATCCGTGAATCCTTTTGGGTTCTCGCAGTGGAACGTCACGATCGCTCCTTCTGGTGCTGGGAAATCTCCATTCCTCCGCTCAAAGGATATCAATGCGTTCGGGATCGTTCGGTTCTCCCTCAGGCACAAGCATGTCTTTGTATGTTCTAGATGGCGGTTAGTGATCGTATCTCCGAACCTCCGAAATGAAATCGCAATCGCTTTCAACTCACTCGATACGAAGCATTGGTATCCTTCGCCGGCCACGAGGGAGTTGTTCCCCTTCAGAATGAGCTGACACGAGCCGTCGGTTTCCCGACGGCTCTTGTCGCGTCACAAGGACTTGGTTTCTGTTTCACACAATATACGAGGGTTGATCGGAGAGTAAGAATACATAGTGAATATTTCAAAGAATAAAGACTATTGTGCCGTTTCTGCATTGGTACACTTGAATTCGAAGCTAGTGCTGGCAGGCTAACAATTGTGAGACGCATGCGCGTCACGGGTGCGCAGTTAGAGCACTTCAAAATGGCGACTCGTCTAGACATATGGTCTCGAGAAGAGGTCTGTAGTGTTATACGCTTTCTTTGGGCAAAACACACATCTGCAGCTGAAACTCATCGTTAGCTTGCTGAAGTGTATGGTGACGGTGTAATGAACCGTCAAAACGTCGCAAAGTGGTGTAGAGAGTTTGCTGAAGGGAGAGTCGGTGTTTCTGATGATGAGAGGAGTGGCAGGCCAAGCACCTCAAACACGGAATGCAATGCAGCACAAATTGATGAGCTGATTCGTGATAGTAGAATATTGACTTTACGTTACATTTTTTGCTCCCTGGGTGCCGAGGATGCTTACGGACGATCTGAAAGCACTGCCTGCTAGCACTAGCTTCGAGTTCAGGTGTACCAATGCAGAAACGGCATAATAGTCTTTCTTCTTTGAAATATTCACTATGCATTCTTCCTTTCCGAGCGACCCTCGTATGTGGCAACCTCCGAGACTCGGTTCTTTGGATTCAAACGTCACATCATTGTATCTTAGACCAGGATGTGCAGCAACATAGGGAATGAACTTGAAAGGGGAAATGTCTCGGAGAAGGAAAAGCAAAGCGACGATGGCCCTGATTTAGCCAGTCTGCAGAACATGAGACTTCATGGTTGCGGGAGGATCGTTGGAATGGGCGAGAAAGTCTCTGGTCGAAGACATACGAATGGACTCTTAAAACTTGAAATGGATTGTAGTGACGTCAACAGGAACTGTTGACCTTGGTGGCCGCCTCCTATCGGTTTTTGTTCGTGTTAAAATATGTATGTAATCCGTGGTGAAAGTTGATCGATGACTGCACCCCATATTCTTCAGAATTTTTTGGCTGGTTGGGAGAGAATTAACCCCACGACGAGTCATAGTTTGCCTACGCGTGAACTGCAAGGCTGTAGAATTTCGGTTCGGTTCTGGGGAAGGACAAGACGACTCGGGTGGGGGGGTCGAACGATGAGGGGGGGGGGGACCTTCCGATGGAGACCATTGACGGACCCCATATCTAAGAGGCCGGACCGCATTGGTTTATCCTCATGCCGTTGAGAATGTAATACAATTTTCAGGAGAAGTTGATGATGATGTTACCTTCCTTTTGGCTTGGTTCTCGTCGAGGGTCTCACTTGGCTCATGCTGTGTATGCAGCTGCCATATCGGCCTCATTCATTTTAATCACTTCATTTGCTCTGGGAGAGGCAGAAGCATGGCATCGACCTCCACACCGACATCCAGGGAAGGGTACGTGACGAGAGAATACTAACTTAAATAATTTTTGTTTTGGGGAGTGGATTTTCCTTCTTCCCTTTTTTCAAATTTTTTGGTTACCGCATCAAATGTTGGATGCGATAAAAACGCATCACATGGAGGACAACTTTTTTCTCGACGAAAATGCATTAATTTGATTCTGCGTGTAAAGGTCAGGTATATTATGCGCTTCTGCCGCATTGAACACTTCGTGATGAACTTCAGCCACATCGAAATTTGCCTTGCATGTCCTATTGTGGGAATATAGTGACTTTTGAGCTAAAAGCCCAAATACATGAACCTCATTTAGGGGAGACAACGCATGTCTCGTCATGACGACGCGTCATGTACATGCTTTGTTTTGCTTGCGCTTCATCAATTCCGTGCCTTTCAACATCCCTAACGCCCAGGGGCAGTACTTCCTGAATTCCCGGAGAGATGCACGGTGATTTTGAGTACACCTCAGCAAAACCTGGGGAGACCTACCAACACGCGAGACTACTGAATGGTTTTTGAATACGGAGTACTCGCCAACAAGGGTCCTGGTGGTAAGGATACCTCGGAAGGGGACATATTAACTGGATAGAATTTGAGGATATAAGTCTTACAAACCGGAAGACCTCTGCTGTGAAGCAACCAAGGTCTGGAGGTTAAACATATAAGGTGCGCGATCCTGACCACTAGCTCTGCCGAGCGAAAATTGTGCGGTTGTGTGTGCGTAACAGCTCTAGAGGTCGAACGCTTCGAGATATAAACTTCTAGTTTCGACAAAACTCTTCCTTATCATCCGAGGATGTCCCTATTCGAAATGAAATGCTCAAATCGGCCTCATGAAAAGGATGGGAGGCAACTTTCACAGAAAATCGGAGAGTCACTCTCTTCCTTTCCTCCAGTTTGCAGCAGGTTTAGATGCACCTAGTTATTAATATATCTGAGAGACGCAAAAAATGCATTTTATTAATATATCTGCGAGACGCAAAAAATGCATTTATGTTCATGAAAATGAAATCAAAGAATTTGCCAACTTCATGACAATCATAAGCATTGACATTCAGCAAGAATTTTCATTAAAATTCTGAACAGGCAAATTGAGAAATCAATGGCCGGTCCGTTTAGTGATGAGTCCGACGGGGTCTTTAAGGGTAAACATGAATATCCAAAATGCGGTCCGAAGCTATACTGTCAGAGAAATCGCCTGAAAACGGCGGGGGCATCTCGATGCAGTCTTGGAAGGCTTCAGGCTCCAAGTCTTCAAAAAAGGTTCCATCTGTGCATTGGCCACCATGGACTGCTCTCAGGAACGCCGGGTTGCGTACTAACCAGGCCATACTGCATCCACACTCGATGGGATTAACTGTAATGCATTCGAAAAGTCATCGATACGGGAAGCTCGATCGCAAAAGCATGCTTCAGGACCAAGGAACGCACCAGCCATATCGATGTACCCCTGCTCCTGAGAAAGAACCTCTATCATCGGGCGGAAGGGAACTTCAGGCAATTCGCTGAATTCGTTAAATCGGAAATCAATTTTTGTGTCAACCATCAAGCCTATAATTAAACAGGAAAATGGTAATCTGACCATTGACTAAAGAATCCTAAGTGGGCCAAAATAATCAAGGATTATTTGGATAGTATAAATGCATTAAGTCTAATTGCAGCTGATGCATAGAAGGGATAACACCTGTGATGGCGTACGGTTCCAAACTTGAGATACTGTCACCGTAGAGGTAAATGCCTCGCAAGGCTTCACTGTGGAATTCCAAGGAACCATATCGCAACGTCGGTCCTAGGTTGCAATCGGTCCACCCAAACGACTCTAGTTTCTCGAAATCCATCAGGAACCCTTTTGGCACTTTTGATATGTTGTTATTACCTTCAAAAAATGGAAGAACATCTCGAAAGACCATTCATGTCATCGAAACATATTAATTATTTCATGACACGGAATAATGGAGAATTTAGACACTATCTACAAGGGTCAGTAAAAAATATATCACAATAATTTATTTAATCAAATTATTGTATGCCGAGCAGGTGAAAAATATTCTCTCTTCTACTTTCAAATGTTCCGCTCTCGTGGTACAGATTTGGAATACACTCCAATCAGAGGGAGCATGACAGCAGACGTTAAAAATAGTCACTGCATTGAAAATCAGAGTAAAGCAAAGAGCAGTGCTTGAATTCCTTACAGTGGATGGTCAGAAAGTGCTTCTCCACCCTTCTCACAGTCTGCACCTTGCACCCTCAGATTACAACCTTTTTGGCGCCTTCAAGTGTTGACTCAATGGAATATACGTTGGAGTAACCAAGTTCAACATGCTGTTCAAAAAGGGGGTAATGAAGGAGTAATTAACTGCTACCGTGATGAAATTCGAGCGCTCACAAAAAGCTGAACGAAGTGCCTTGAACATTACATAAAAACACGGATAAACGTAAGACCTCTCAAAGCATTGGGAAACTCTTCTTCAGGATTTCGTCCCAGTGAATAAAATGAGTGAGGAATACATTATGCATGACCTTTTCCCTGACTCACCTATTTCTTGCTTCTGCTTTGGCCTACTCATCAATACCCCAGGGTACATTCACAATATCGTGATTCTATTTTTGGGAAATACTATTTTTTTTAGAAACATGGACCGATTCTTGACCTAAATGATGCAATGGCACACGTAATTTCAGTGTTATACGTGATACTCTTCAGGCGGTAGTTGAAAACTTCGCCATCAGAATTCACAATTTTCTACGAAATAGAGGAGAACAATTTCAACTCATTATATGGACAAGGAACTTGTGAGTTTTGTAAAAATTTAGAAGTGTTTTTCTCATTTCTATCTTTATTAGAAACAAAATGGAACATTCTCAAAACTTGTAACATATTTTTTGCCCACCTCGTATCAAGAAGCTGCATTGCCTCACTAATAGGGCTGCCTCTCAGTACAAAAAAAAACAGAAAACCCTTCAAAAGCCTTGCCCTCAATCGGCAAGATTTCCACGCAGATATTTCATGGACTTTGGAATAAAACGCATGGTTAGGGACAAATAAATTTGGTTGGTGACACCCTCATGAGGCTGTCAGCCATTGCAAACCTCCAAACCCCTATGGTTTCCAATTCCTGACGGCCTATGAATGTAGTATTTTATTAAATCAATAGCGAAATGGATCAAACTAAGTGAAAAAATTGCAATACCAGAAAGGGTGCTATGCAGTAAACCAAAAGATCAATTTTAGGAGCTTTGGGATACTTTTGGCTTTAACATCAGCTAGAAGCGAACAATCAGAACAGTTCTTGTGCCATATTATAACCATGGTCTTTAGCTATAAAGAGATGGTAGTCTCGCGCCGCTAGCTCTTCCCATCAGGAAAATATCAATATTAACGTCCAAAGTTAATGCATTGGGCTAGGTTCTTTTCTCTAGGTTTTTGGCTAACAACCTAGGGTTTTTGGGTTCTCTAGGTTTTTGGGAACAAAAATGACAACTTTAAAGGAACAAAAAGGACTTCATTTAATATTTAGTACTAGCGAGTTTGTTTGCCCTTCGGGCAAACAAACTCGCTATGGACGCGCCTTCGGCGCTCTACGATCTAAGGCATCTGTTTTCGATGCACACCCCTACTAATGCGGTTAAACTCCTTTGTTCATGGGTTCAATTCTCGCACCTTAAAGGAAAGGGGTTCAAAAACATATTATTAATGACGCCATGTTATTTGTAGCATAAAGATCACCCATGAACAATTGTAAGTGTGCCATTTAGTGTTCCATTGGTGTTTTCAGTTCCTGTCTATGGTTGAGGCACTCTTAATAGCATATCAATCTCCAAAAAAGTAGGAGTAATAGCAGCCATATGAACCACATAAGCCACTTGAGAGTTTTAACACTAAGATGGCTAATATTAAAGATCGTTGTAGGCCTGAGCAATCGTCCAAGGGTTGGATATAAGCCTGCTGAATCATTCCCATCAAGGCAAGTACCGCCAATGTCGAACTGTGTCTGTAGTATGCAAGCCAACAGCTACTTATGCTCCATCCAGTTTCCTTTGAGGAGTGTGCATGAGAGTAGTATTGGCCTAAGCATCCATCCATGGGGTAGGTCTAGGCTTGCGAAATTTGTCCCCAAGGCGTGTACACCTCCACTCCCTCCCTCCCTCCGAAGTCTGAATTCCTCTAGAGTGAATAACGCAGCAATAACACATACTTCCTTCAATGACTGAGGAGGAAAGGCTTGTGTTGGCTTGTGTTGGCTTACGCCATTCTCATTCATGAGAATGGCACTTACTCCCAAAGTTGGAATTTTTCTGGAGTCTAAGAGTTATGTGTGTGCCAAGTTTCAGCTTCTCATCATGTCTAGAACATGGTTAGTATTAGCGTCAGTCAGTCAGTCACCATCGTCTATTTATACAGTATTCGATGAGGACGCACTTTAAGTAACGTTTTGCCACTTCAAAAAACGTAATTTTTGAACGCTGAAAGTTGATAAGCAAGTCCTTCTTATTAGTAGCGTATTTAGTTTTGAGGTTAATCGTGAATTGGTTCTTTTTTAAATAAATTTATACCAAGTACATTTTCCATGCAAGAATCTTCAAAGTGGAGAAACAGATAACTGTAGCTTGGTTATCCACCAATTCTTGGGGAAATGAGGGAAATTTTCTATTCTTAAGGTGTATCCGCACAGGAACCTCCATTGTAAACGCAGATATTCCTGAAAATGTTCTTTCTCACAAAACGGAGAGACAAAAAAAATCTGCAACATTGCCGCAATGTTACCTGTCCAAATGCATATCTGGAAATGAAGTCTTCTTTCAAGATATGAGGCATACTGTTTGGGCAGACATTTTCCATGAAATGTATTGTTTTAGTAATGAGGCAGATACAGAAACCTGAAATCCCATTAAGATTTTCTAGAAAATGTAATTCCAAGAAAGTTCCTGCATTTTTTAAATTGTTTTCCATGCGACAGAAGTATTTTCAAGCAACACGTTCTCAGTAAATATTTACCCAAAAACGGTTGGAGCAGTAGAAAGAGCTAAAATACTGTAGCGAAGTACCTCTCTGTACGACTATTTTAATTCGCTAAAGATATCCGTTAGTTAGTTTGCCAATGACGACGTATGATAGGAAGTAACTTGAGAAAGTAATAACTATGCCTATGACCCGAGGAGTTTGATCAGATAGGTAAAAACGGACCTTTCGAATGAATTAATCATTTTCAATATAATAGAGTGCCAAATGTGCGACCATAGCGATTTTCCTTGTCTGAAGGGCAAACTCGCCTTCACTCCATAAAAGAAAATAATAATTCATTTGACGCAAACCTTTTCGATACTTAAAACTGCAAATTGGGTAAAACTCCTCAAATCAATAGGATTTTTTAAATCACGAGTTTAAGCTGCTCATGCTTATGTGAAGTGTATGCAATGTAAGCTGCTCATGCTTATGTGAAGTGTATAATTGTAACATGAGAGTTTATCCTCAATACAGCGCCTTCTATAGCAAGACTGTATGCACCACCTTCCTCTGAGCAAAATTGTGCGAGCTAACTCATTCTTCTCCCTAGGCTAATAAACACCAGTAAGGCGGTCAAAAATTCCGAGAACTTTTAGAAACCAGAATATATGCCATGGGGCGTGCATGATCGACTGACGAATTTCCTTGAATTCGTTAATCCTATGAATATATATAAATCCGTTTCCCACTAGCAGAAATTATTTGAAAAAGTCTGCCACAAAAATAGCTCCTCCATGGGATTATCTGAAAATTTACGTTTTCCAGGAAATTAACAGTTTAAGAGGCACTTTCACGTCGAATTTCAGCTTTCTACGTCTTTGTTTATCTGAAGAATAATAATTTATTTTAATACGTATTAAAAGTTTTTCCCTGTCAAAATGTGTGCCGAAAGAGAATGAACCGAGGTTTTTATCGAAATAGTTACTCCGATTCTTCCAAGCTTCCACTTTCTCTAGAACTCTCTTTCATTGGATCAGAAAGGGTTCCAGAAATTTTTTGGACAAAAATGCGCTCTGAGGGGTTTTACCTAAAAATTAACTTTTTTAAATTGAAATCCTACTGGGAGAGCTACGTGTCTACCAATTTTCAATGTTATCCGTTTGCTCTATTAGTTGGTGCAAACATATCTTTGTAAAAGCGAACGCTGCCAAAAACTGTACCCTGAGGATATGCACCACAAAGCATGAACATTTTCTAAAGTGACCATCACTTCAGGTTTTGGTGTGCCAAGTATCACCATATCTTTTTGCCCAATTTGAAAATTTGACCAAAAAAAGCTATTGAAAAACATCACCAAACAAAAAGTGCCCCAAGGCATGTGTCCGAAACTTGACATTTTTCCTGAACGCAGTCTCAGTAGACACGTCCATATCTGGACCAATAAAATCGAAAAACATATATCTTTGAAATTTGTGCGCCAGAATTCAGGTCACCATTAGGTACATATGTATCAAATTTCACCTTTTTATCTCGAGCCAATTCCGTGTGGCGAAAAAAAAATTTAAAACCGTCACCGGGAGCAAAATAATGCTCCCAGGGCATGCATTTAAAACACGATATTTTCCCTGAACTTTGTGTCTCAGTGGGCACGTCATTGCCAAGTTTCAGCTTTCTATGTCTCTCCGTTTGACAGAAGCAAATATTTATTATTGTAAACACCTCCCCCCAAAATGAGTGCCCCAAGCCAAGTACCTCCAAATTCGCATTTTTTCCTGAACTCTACACCCCTTTAGCTACTTGTGTACCATGTTTCAGATTTCTAACTTCTCTAGAACATGGTTAGAATAAGCGTCAGTCATTCTCTCTCTCAGTCACGATCAGCAATATATATATATATATAGATATAAGATAGCAAAAGGAATTACCAATTGTGCCTGTCATGTCAAAAACTGCACCAAAGTAATTTTTGAAGCCGGATATATATACAGTAGATATTATATATTTTTTAATTTAGGCTTCCTATGGGAAAGATTGCATTCCTATAGGGAGTCCGTAAGATTCCTATAAGAAACGCATTGTATCCTATAGGAATCTCAGAAGTCTTCAAAGACTCGTCATTTCCTACTGGGGGCTCAATATAAATCCCATGGGAATGTATCGGAGTCCAATAGATCTTCAATACGACCTATAAGGTCCTAAATGGAAACTCATCGGACCCTATGAGTCTTGGACATTCCCTATGCCCCAGAGGAAGGTCACTTCCGAAAGCAGATCGTGACTAATAAAGATTGCGCACAACTGCTCCAGGGACTCAAGATTTCTCTTAAGAGTCATTCCATACGAACTCAACCGGGCAGTGCGCTTGGCTGTCTCGGATTTCGCGATAAAAAATTATCAGCGATTGCAGTCAATCAAAAGACCCCTGAAAAAAATCGATCTGATCGATTCTGCGTTAGCGATAAATCGCCCCCCCCCCCCCGGACCTTGGGGCAAAACGGTAAAACCCAATGAACTGGAAAATTTCCTTCTCAGGAACCCTTCATCGTACGGAGGTGCGCAATAGTTTGAACCAGAGCTCCTCAATAGGAAAAAAATTCGGTCCAGACATCCTCGGAGTTTGAATGAGATTTCACCAACAAAGTTCAATATGAAAAATATGAAACTTAAACAATTTTGACTCCCAATATACATTTGAGGCGAGAGAAAAGACAAATCTCTCCTTATATGGTAAGTTGTAGTATTTTCCATATGCATCGATGAAGCACGTTCCTTGTTTGATTTTTTGTCTGCTACATAGAAAAAAGTTCATCTAAAACTTGGAATTTTCTCATTTTTTGTCATCTTTGGTCGAGTATTTTTCGATGTGGCAGAGCACTTCCGATATCATGGGTAGTGGCTCTACAAGGTGACTCAAAAGTCCTTGGACACCTTTAATCAAGTGTAGCATTCTCTGATGAAGACCAATTTAATTTCTTATTGGACCAGTGCAAAGATCACAAACAACTAAACCAACCATGTTTTTGTGTTTCAAAAATATCACAATTTGAGGCAATAACCTGCTTCAGATGTTTTGGGAAATCATTTACGG